TTCCAGTCAAGGGCATGTACCTTGCTTGCGGGCACATCCCCAGTAGGGGGTGTGAAAGAGGCAGCTGATGGAATATTTCTCTCTGATCGATGTTTCTAACTTTCTATCTCTCTCTCCCTTCCTCTCTATAAAAAATCATTAAAATATATTTTAAAAATAAATAAATAAATAATAAAATAAAATGGTTAGATTAGAATTTCATAAAGAGGGTAAGACTTGAATTTATCCTTGATGAATGAGAAGTGGGGGTTTTCTTCTTAAAAAATTACAAGATTATTAAGAAAACAAGGAAGAGTGTAAACAAATACCTAAAGAGTAAAAAAAAAAAAAAAAAAAAAAAAAAAAATGATGGCAGGTACATCAAGGAGGGAGAAAACTGCCCTAGCCAGTTTGGCAGAGTGGATAGGGCATCAGCCTGTGGAGGAAAGGATTCTAGGTTCGATTCTAGTCAAGGACACATACCTTGGTTGCAGGGTCCTCCAAGGCTTGGGCCATGATTGGGAATCAATGGAAAAATATCCTCAGGTGAGGATTAAAATAATAAAATTTCAAAAATATGATTTTTTTAAGAGGGATTAAACTGATCAGGTTCCCATTGGGGTCCATGTCTGGGTCAGGTGAGAGGGATGTTTAGAAAGGAAGGTTGAATAAAGGACTGTGAACTTCAAAGTGGTTAATTAGTGCTCCACCTCATAAGTTAAAAGATGTTGAAAACATTCGCTCCACTGAAGAAGGACACGCCAGGGTCCAAGGTCCCCCAGGCTCTGAGGACCCCAGGTGAGTTTCAGGAAATGTAACTTAGTGGCTTCATGCACATCTGGAGAGACAGGAACAAGAAAGAGACTGGAGGTGAAGAAGACCTGACCATGGAGCCAGAGTCAGCCTTGGGAAAGAAAGAGGTGGGCAGGTGAAATGTTGAGTGTGGTAGATGGAGGAGGCATACCTGTGACCTAAGATACAGAAGCCCCTTCCTCAACCCACATTTTAAGGAGTCAGCTTCCCTGAAAAAACAATGTCCTTCTCCCCATCAATATCCCCCCATCCCCACCCAGAAGGCCAGAATCATCCATTTCCACGGATGGGCCTTTTTATCCTAATGTCCCCCTAAAGTCTGTGTTCCCTTGCATGGTGTCAGACCTACCTGGGAGATTTCTGTCTGATCCATAGAGACACAGACAGACCCTGCTCTAAAAAAGCCAATATCTTACCCAAGCAAATGCATTTTGCGTACTACTGACCTTTCCAATCCGATAGAGAGTTGGCTGCTGGGCCAAAACAGACCAGGCACTGCCTCTGGCAGCCTGAGATGCTAGGAGACCCTGGCTGGAGGAAGGACATGGGGGCTTTAATTGCGGAACTGGCACTGACCCAGCAGGCTGGGTGTTCTGAGTCTCCATAGATAAAGTGAGGCTAGCCTAGTGTTACCAATAGGAGACCCATGGATCCTAGATGTTAAGATCTGGGAGTGTCTCTCAGATATTATAATTTCCATTTCAACCAGCGGGAGCTGGAGAGGAAGAGAGGTGATTCCACCATAGCTTCAAGTCACACTTTCTAAACGGCTCTGATACATCAGTCAGCAGACAATTTCCCGGCAGCGGTGTATGGAACTCACTGCCCCTCATGCCAGGTCCAACCCCACCCTGCCTCTCTCCCTCTCCTGCAGTCTATGGCCTTAGTCCCGGTCATGAGTCAACCTCTAATTGCAGTGGATGCCAAGAGGCAAAGGGAGTGGAGTGCGAACCAATGGGCCCTCTAATGCCAGGCAGGTGAGGTGTGGGGTCTGGAAGGAGGGGAGGCCAAGAGAAGGGTGGCTGTGTGCTAAAACCCCCAAATAATCTGTTCACACTCCCTTTTCAAGTCACGTCTATTTATTTTGAAGAAATTTGGAATCCAGCTCAGCCTGGAATTCCTTACTCCTTGCATGATGAAATGTGGGCACAAAGCACTGGCCACAGGCCCAGCGCGAGGAGAGGATGTTAAGTATCGTGTATTGATTTCCTTCACTGCCAGCAGCCTATTCCAGGAAATCTGGGCTTTTTCTATCATGCTAAAAAGTCTTCCAGCCTCTGCCCATTGTCAAATTCCAAAGCCACTGCTACATTTTTACTATCTGTTACAGCAGCACCCTACTTATAGTTATACAATTCTGTATTCGTTTTTTTATTGTAACTATAACAGGTTATTATCAAATTAATGTCTTAAAGCAACACAAATATATTATCTTAAATTCTGGAGGTCAGAAGTTTTTCTGGAGGCTCTAACGCAGAATTCATTTTTTTTTTCCTATTTCCAATTTATAGGAGCTTCCTGAATTCCTTAGCTCATGGCCCCCTTCCTCCATCTTCAAAGCCTCATTAAATCCCCCCATTTCTCTCTCTCCCTTTCCATGTCTCTCTCTCTCCTCCACTTCTGTCATCACATCTGGTCTCTGATTCTTACTGTCCTTCCTCCATCTTATAAGAACTTTTGTGGGCAGAGAGACCAAGATGGCAGCATAAGGTAAACACCTAAATGCAGCCTACCACAACAATTTTAAAATTACAACTGGAAAACAGAGCAAACATCGCCCTGAACCACCAGAAGGCTGGCTGAGTGGAAGCTCTACCATCTAGGAAGGAAAGAGAAAGGACGCTGAGCCTCAGGAGCTGTGGAGGTGCAGAGATTGTGTGCGCAGAAACAATGCCCGCCAAATACACTGCTGGCTCACTTAAAGTGTGAGAGAAGAGGGCAGGCAGCTAATGAGCAGATAGCTTTCTTATTCAGGAGGAAAGCAAAACCTCCCTATTGCACTGATAGCCAGCTCTAGTCAAGTAGAAATTGGAACATCAGTCAATGGGCAAAACTCTCTCAGAGGTGCGCGTGGCCAGTAGCCATTACTGCAGAACAGGACCCACTTAGGGCAGGGCTGACAGGAAACCAAAGCTTGTCTGCGCCACTCCGAGACTCTGCCCCATCCAGGCTGAGTACAGAAGTCCTCCTAGCTGAGACACTGCTGATCCTCACAGCCAATTGGCTTGGAGATCAACTCTCCCCAGTGATACCAACAGCAAGCAAGGCTTAACAACAAGACTGCACACACAGCCCACAAAAAGGCTGTACCAAAACTGTCCACCTCAGGTAACTGGGAAGGCTGAGCTACTGGGCCCTGCTAGGACACCTAGCATACAAAGCTACTCCATCAACTCACAGAAGCAGCTAAAATGCAGAGAAGTGGCAGGCCACAAAAGAAGGAAATGGAGTAGAGCAAAGGAATGAACATGGAGATGAAAACCACAGTTATAAGGTTTTTTAAGAATTTCCTAGGAAAGGCCGATAAAATAAATGAGACCTTTGAGGATATAAAAAGGGATCAACTAGAAATAAAGCATACACTGACTGAAATTAAAAAAAAAATATTATAAAGAGTCCTAAACACAAATTGGAAGATCACAAGAATCAAGTCAAAGATTTAGAACACAAAGAGCCAGAGGACACTCCTCTGCAGAAGAAAAAAGAGAAGAGAATCCAGAAAATTCAACATAGTGTAAGAAGCCTCTGGAACAACTACAAGCATCCCAACATCAGAATTATGGGGATCCCAGAAGAAGAGAGAGAGCAAGATAACAAAAACCTACTGGAAGAAATAGTGACAGAAAAATTCCCCCACCTGGTGAAAGAATTAGACTTACAAGTCCAGGAAGCACACTGAACCCCAAACAAAAGGAATCCAAAGAGGACCACACCAAGACATATCATAATTAAAATGCCAAAAGCAAAAGACAAAGACAGAATATTAAAACAGCAAGAGAAAAGCAGGTAGTTACCTATAAAGGAACACCCATACATTTGTCAGCTGATTTCTCAACAGAAACTATGCAAACCAGATAGGAATGGCAAGAAATATTCAAGGTGATGAATAGAAAGAATCTACAACCAAGATTACTCTACCAGCAAAGCTATTACTCAGAATTGAAGGACGGATAAAGAGCTTCACAAATTAAATATATATATATATATATAAAGGAGTTCATCACCACCAAAACAGAATTATATGAAATGTTGAAAAGTATTCTTTAAGAAGAGGAAGAAGATAAAGATAAAAATTATGAACAACAAATACATAACTATCAACAAGTGAATCTAAAACCCAACAGAATTTAAAAATCTGATAAACAGTATTAACTGGTGAATATAATAGAATCAGAGGTATAGAAAGGAAATGGACTGACGATTCTTGGGGGGAAAGGTGAGGGGAGTGCAGGAAGAGACGGAACAAAAATGGTACATTATGGATGAGGACAGCGGGTGATAGAGAAAGGGCAGAGGGTGGGGTAAGAACCTGGTGGAAGGGAGCATTGGAGGTAAAAAAGAGGAACAATTTTAATAATCTGAACAAGAAAGATTTATTTTAAAATATAAAAAATTTAAAAAGAACATTTGTGATTATATTGGGCCTGTCTGGATAATCCAGGATAATCTCAATATCTCAAGATCCTTAAATGAATTCTATCTGCAATGGTCCTTTTGCCATGTCAGGTAACATATCACAGTTTCCAGGGATAGGACTTGGGCCTTCTTGGGAAGGGGTTAATATCCAGACTACCACAGCTAGGGACCAGGCAAAGAGTACACGGTGGGCCAGGGCGAGCCCCACATGCTTTCCTTCCCCCTTATCTTCCACTTCCTTGCTCCTGTTATTTTCTGCAGAGTTTTCACTTCAGAGAAAGCAGAATTCTTAAGAATAACCCATTTGGTTCCTGTCTGTGGTCACTTTGAATATAACTGTGCCCCATACCCTCCCAAAAGTGCCTGGGTCCAAAACCCCACTGCTTCCTCCCTCCTTCCTGGAAATCACCCAGGCTGCTCCACTGGTTCAGCACAATTCAGAGTTCAGGTGACTCCACCCACCCATAGTCCCAATAAAAGGAATGCAGAGCAGCACAGAGGCTCAGAGGCTCAGAAACCAGCCACTATCTCTCCAGTCACTCTCTTTAAAGCTCATCTCCTCACCCTCCAGCATGAAGGTCTCCTCAGCCCTCCTGTGCCTGCTGCTCACCACGGCCGCCCTCAACACCCAGGTGCACGCCGATCCAAGTAAGCACCCTTCCTCCTTCCCTTGGAAGCACATCACCCCATCTCTGGCCCAAGACAGCAGAAGGGGGATCCCCAGCCTCACTTTAACACAAGGTCAGGGAACTGTTAGAAGGACAAAGCGTGAGCCTGGTTGCACAGGTGCTCCTGGACAGAGGCAGGGTGAGAAATCCAGCTGTGGAACCCAAATCCAGCCCCTTTCAGGACTCCAGCTGTGGAAACATACACACACTCTCACACACACACACACACACACACACACACACACACACACACACACACACTGTAGTCACCGCCTCAGCTCCTTTCAGCACTATTTTGGGGGCTGGGGTGATAGCAGAGAGGAGCCTCATGTGGTGGGTGTGGAGGTACAATGAAGGGGAGCAGAAGAGCCCCAACATCTGGACTGTGCTTCATTCAGCCCAGCTTCCTGAGACACGGCTCAACAACAGGCACTGGGCATCAGGAGACTTGTGGCCAGGCATAGGTTACGTGGAGCCTAAAGGGGGACCGATTGTGGGGTCCCTGACCTTCCTGACCACAAGTGTCTGCATTTTTAGCTCCTCCTAGTGACACTCCTGGGAATTAGGTCATTTTAGCAGCTCCCCTGCCCTCTAGTAGCAGTGCTCTATGCCCATGTCATAGCACAGGAAACTGAGTCAGTGTCACATTCTAGCTCTGCAGGATCCACAGAAGTACTGGAATCAAGTGGGTTCTACCTCTACTCCTGATTTCCCTTCGCCTTCTCCTAACTACTTCTTTTCTGCTACAAGTAAGATAAAAAGAGTTAAGTCCATCCTGAAATGCTTTCTCTTTGTAGGTACTTTATCAGTCCCAACATGCTGCTACAGTTTTACGGATAAGAAGATCCCGATGCGGAAGCTGGTGAGCTACAAGAGAGTCACCAGCAGCAAGTGCCCCAGAGAGGCTGTGATGTGAGTTGAACCCCAGCCCTCCCTGGTCCAGTTCTTCCCCAGAAAAAGGGAGCCTCAAACCTTAGGAGACAGAGAGGGAACCACCTAATCCAGTCCCTGGAGGTGCCCAGTGGGAATCCTAAAACCAGGAGGGAAAACCTGACTCTCAGCATCACTCTCCACCCCAGTGCTTATTCAAACCATGCCAATGTCTTCCACCAGAGGTCAGGATGGCTTCACCTGTGTCCTCCAGGGGAACAGCTTGCCCTGGGTTCCCTCCTCTCTCTTCTAATTAGTTCCCAGGACAGCTACTTAGAGACAACTGAGCTGCAAGGCTAGGCTGACACCTCAATGCAATTGCATGTAACTGTGCCCTCTCCCCCACAGCTTCACGACCAAACTGAACAAGGATAAATGTGCTGACCCCCAGCTGAAGTGGGTCCAGGATTCCATGAAGCTCCTAGACAAGAGAACCCAAACTCCAAAGCCTTGAATGCCCACTCCACAACCCAAGAATCTAACCCTAATTTATTGCCTCCTAACTGTCCCTAACGCCATCCAATATTATTTTATTGTATTTTCAAAGAATATGAGCTTTGTTTATTGATATGAAACATGATGTCTTAAGTAATGCTAACCTCATTGAAGATATTGATGTTTTGCCGAAACTGATTTGGCTCAGTGTATAGAGCGTCGGTCTGTGGACTGAAAAGTTCCAGGTTGGATTCCTGTCAAGGGCATATACTTTCGTTGCAGGCACATTTCTGGTGGGGGGGGGTGGGTGCAGGAGGCAGCTGGTCGATGTCTCTCTCTCATTGATGTTTCTGGCTCTCTATCTCTCTCCTCTCCCTTCCTCTCTGTAAAAAAATCAATAAAATATATATTTTTTAAAGATTTTGATGTTTTAAGTTTCTCTCCCATGGACACTGGTTAGACATAGAGACCTTTGTCTAAATTGCTTCCCTCAGGGGGGTGCACTGCAGTTCCACCCCTGAAGTGGCATGAGAGTCCTTGCAACAATCATGAATACAAACACATGTTGTCTTAAATTCTAAGGCATTTCTAAAAACATTATTATGGAGATGTAATAATTACTCTGAAGCAATATATATATATTTTTGTACAAAACCTGACTTTTGGTGTTTTCTTGAAGGAAGTAAAAAGCTGAGTATTTGCTTGATGGTGAGGGAGGGGCAAGGTTTCAGAGGACAGGGCTCATGTTTTGAAGGAATGAGGACGTGGATCGTCTTGGTCTTTCTCCCTGGGGGCTCATCTGAGTGCCTAGACAGAAACCTTTAGGGCAAGACTCAATCAGGCATTCTACCCCTGCCATTCCAGCCCAACACCGTCTGCCCAGGTCCCAACTACCCTTGTGACTCCTTTAGCAAGAGCCCCCCCCTCACACTTCTTTTCTTAGAGTTCTGAGCCACCCTCTAATAACTCCCCTAATCGATTGCAACTAACCCCAATCTTTCCCCATTCAATTAATTCTCCAACGTGGAGACTGCAGAGACTGCAGACTTTGTGAAATCAGGGGGAAACGTAATCACCATCAATATAATGGTTAGAGCCAAAACCGGTTTGGCTCATTGGACAGAGCGGATTGAAAGGATCCAGGTTATATTCCGGTCAAAAACATGTACCTTGGTTGTGGGCACATCCCCAATAGGCAGCTGATTTATGTTTCTCTTTCATTGATGTTTCTAACTCTCTATCCCTCTCTCTTCCTCTCTGTAAAAAAGCAATAAAATGTGTATTTTTTTTTTAAATGGTTAGATTATGCTGAAACCGGTTTAGCTCAGCAGTAAAGCATCGGTCTGCGGACTGAAAGGTCCCGGGTTCGATTCCGGTCAAGGGCATGTACGTTGGTTGCGGGCACATCCCCCAGTAGGGGGTGTGCAAGAGGCAGCTGGTCAATATTTCTCTCTCATCGACGTTTCTAGCTCTCTATCTCTCTCCCTTCCTCTCTGTGAAAAATCAATAAAATATATATTTTTTAAAAAAGATTACGTAGGTCTTTAAAAATAAATAAATAAAATAAAATGGTTAGATTAGAATTTCATAAAGAGGGTAAGACTAAAATTTAACCTCGATGAATGAGAAGTGTGGTATTCTTCTTTAAAAATTACAAGATTGTTAAGAATAGAAGGAAAAGTATAAGCAAATACCTAGAGGGGGGGGGGGAATATATATATATATATATATATATATATATATATATATATATATATATATATATAGTAGGTACATAAAAGGGGGAGAAAACTGCCATAGCCAGTTTGGCTCAGTGGACAGAGGATCAGCCTGTGGACAAAAGGATTCCAGATTCGATTCCAGTCAAGGGCACATACCTTGGTTGCAGGCTCCTCACAGGCTTGGGCCCTGAACAGGAATCAATGGAAAAATATCCTCAGGTGAGGATTAAAAAAATAAAATTAAATTAATATGATTCTTTTTAAAGAGGGAATAAACTGACCAGATTTCCATTGAGGTTCATGTCTGGGTCAGGTTTTAGGGATGTTTAGAAATAAAGGTTAAGTAAAGGATTCTGAATTTCAAAGTGGTTAATTAGTGCTCCACGTCATAAGTTAAAAGATGTTGAAAACATTTGCTCCACTGAAGAAGGACACACCAGGTTCTGAGATCCCCAGGTTCAGAGATCCCGAGGTGAGTTTCAGGAAATGTAACTTGGTGGCTTCGTGCACATCTGGAGAGACAGGGACAAGGGAGAGGCTTCTGCCATGGTCCCGGAAGAAGGTGACAAGGACCTGACCATGGAGCCAGAGTCAGCCTTGGGAAAGAAAGAGGTGGGCAGGTGAAATGATGAGTGTGGTAGATGGAGGAGGCAGACCTGTGACCTAAGATACAGAAGCTCCTTCCTCAACTCATGTTTTAAGGAGTCAGCTTTCCTGAAACCAGAATGTCCTTCTCCCCATCAATATCCCCCCATCCCCACCTAGGAGGCCGGAATCATCCATTTCCACGGATGGGCCTTTTTATCCTAATGTCCCCATAAAGTCTGTGTACCTTTGCATGATGTCTAACTTACCTGGGAGGTATGTTTCATCCATAGGGACACAGACAGACCCTGCTCTAAGAAAGCCAATATCTTACCCAAGCAAATGCATTTCGCATGGTACTGGCCTTCCCAATTCGATGGGGAGATGGCTGTTGGGCCAAGATAGACCAGGCACTGCCTCTGGCAGCCTGAGATGCTAGGAGACCCTGGCTGGAGGAAGGACATGGGGGCTTTAATTGCGGAACTGGCACTGACCCAGCAGGCTGGGTGTTCTGAGTCTCCATAGATAAAGTGAGGCTAGCCTAGTGTTACCAATAAGAGACCCATGGGCCCTAGATGTTAATATCTGGGAGTGTGTATCTCAAAAAACTTCCATTTCAACCAGCAGGAGCTGGAGAGAATAGAGGTGATTCCACCATAGCTTCAAGTCACACTTTCTAAACGGCTCTGATACATCAGTCAGCAGACAATTTCCCGGCAGCGGTGTATGGAACTCACTGCCCCTCATGCCAGGTCCAACCCCTCCCTGCCTCTCTCCCTCTCCTGCAGTCTATGGCCTTAGTCCCGGTCATGAGTCAACCTCTAATTGCAGTGGATGCCAAGAGGCAAAGGGAGTGGAGTGCGAACCAATGGGCCCTCTAATGCCAGGCAGGTGAGGTGTGGGGTCTGGAAGGAGGGGAGGCCAAGCGAAGGGTGGCTGTGTGCTAAAACCCCCAAATAATCTGTTCACACTCCCTTTTCAAGTCACGTCTATTTATTTTGAAGAAATTTGGAATCCAGCTCAGCCTGGAATTCCTTACTCCTTGCATGATGAAATGTGGGCACAAAGCACTGGCCACAGGCCCAGCGCGAGGAGAGGATGTTAAGTATCGTGTATTGATTTCCTTCACTGCCAGCAGCCTATTCCAGGAAATCTGGGCTTTTTCTATCATGCTAAAAAGTCTTCCAGCCTCTGCCCATTGTCAAATTCCAAAGCCACTGCTACATTTTTACTATCTGTTACAGCAGCACCTTACTTATAATATATTTATTCAAATCTGTATTCAATTTTTTATTGTAAGTATAAACAGGATATTATCAAATTAATGTCTTAAAGCAACACAAATATATTATCTTAAATTCTAGAGGTCAGAAGTCTTTCTGGAGGCTCTAAAGCAGAATTAATTTTTTTCCCTTTTCCAATTTATAGAAGTTTCCTGCATTCCTTATCTCATGACCCCCTTCCTCCATCTTCAAAGCCTCATTAAATCCCCCCTTACTCTCCCTCCCTTTCCACGTCTCTCTCTCTCCTCTACTTCTGTCATCACATCTGGTCTCTGATTCTTACTATCCTTCCTTCATCTTATAAGAACATTTGTGGGTAGAGAAATCAAGATGGCGGCATAAGGTAAACACCTAAATGCAGCCTACCACAACAATTTTAAAATTACAACTGGAAAACAGAGCAAATACTGCCCTGAACCACCAGAAGGCTGGCTGAGTGGAAGCTCTAACATCTAGGAAGGGAAGAGAAAGGACGCAGACCCTCAGGAGCTCTGGAGGTGTGGAGATCTGTGCTCGCAGAAAGGGTGGCCACCAAATGCGCTGATGGCTTACTCACAGCACACTCGGAGAGGGTGGGCAGCTAACTTGCAGCTACCTTTCTTGTTTGGGAGGAAAGCCAGCTCCAATAAAGAAGAAATTGGACTGTCAGGCAAAACTTTCTCAGAGGTGCACGTGGCCAGCAGCCATTACTATAGGACTCAGGAACAGGACCCTCTTTGGGCAGGGCTGACAGGAAATCAAAGCTTGTCTGTGCCACCTTGAGACTCTGCCCCACCCAAGATGAGCACAGAAGCCCCCCAGTGTCTAGCTTTCTCAATCTGGAGAAAAACAAAACTTTCCAACAGTACTGATAGCCAACTCTGATCCGGGAAGAAACTGACTATCAGGGAGCAGGCAAAACTCAAGAACAGCCTTTTCCCAAGTGGTATGCATGCCAGCAGCCAGTGTTGTGGGATGTGGGGAATAGGACCCTCTTAAAGTGGGGCTAACAGGAAACCAAAGCTTGTCTGTGCCACTCTGAGACTCTGCCCCATCCAAGCTGAGCACAGAAGCCCTCCTAATTGAGACACTGCTGATCCTCACAGCCAATTGGCTTGGAGATCAACTCTCCCCAGTGATACCAACAACAAGCAAGGCTTAACAACAAGATTGCACACACAGCCCACAAAGGGCTGCACCAAGACTGTCCAGCTCAGGTAACTGGGAAGGCTGAGCTACTGGGCCCTGCTAGGACACCTAGCACACAAAGCTACTCCATCAACACACAGAAGCAGCTAAAATGCAGAGAAGAGGCAGGCCACAAAGGAAGGAAATGGAGGGAAGCAAAGAATGGACATGGAGCCGAAACTGGTTTAGATCAATGGATAGAGCGTCGGCTTGGAGACTGAAGGGACCCGGGTTCGATTCCGGTCAAGGGCATGTACCTTGGTTGCGGGCATATCCCCAGTAGGGGGTGTGCAAGAGGCTGATCAATGACTCTCTCTCATCGATGTTTCTAACTCTCGAACTCTCTCCCTTCCTCTCTGTGCAAAATCAATAATATATATATATATATATATATATATATATATATATATATATATGAATGGACATGGAGTTGAAAACCAGTTTTAAATTATTTCAAGAATTTCCTAGAAAAGGCCGATAAAATAAATGAGACCTATGAGGATCTGAAAAGGGATTAACTAGAAATAAAGCATACACTACAGAAATAAAAAATATTATACAGAGTCCTAAACACAGACTTGAAGATTGTAAGAATCTGCTGAAACCGGTTTGGCTCAGTGGTAGAGCATCAGCCTGCGGACTGATCCTCTACCACTGATTCTGGTCAAGGGCATGTACCAGAGTTAGGGCACATTCCCAGTAGGGGGTGTACAAGAGGCAGCTGTCGATGTTTCTCTCTCATCAACATTTCTAGCTCTCTATATCTCTCCCTTCCTCTCTGTAAGAAATTAATAAAATATATTTTTAAACAGTTATTAAAAAAAAAAAAAAGATCGTAAGAATCAAGTCAAAGATTTGGAACACAAAGAGCCAGAGGACACTCCTCTGCAGAGGCAAGAAGAGAAGAGAATCCAGAAAGTGGAAGATAGTGTAAGAAAACTCTGGGACAAATTCAAGCATTCCAACATCAGAATTATGGGGGTCCCTGAAGAAGAAAGAGAGCAAGATACTGAAAACCTATTGGAAGAAATAGTGACAGAAAACTTTCCCCACCTGGTGAAAGAAATAAACTTACAAGTCCAGGAAGCACACTGAACCCCAAACAAAAGGAATCCAAAGAGGACCACACCAAGACACATCATAATTAAAATGCCAAAAGTAAAAGACAAAGAGAGCATATTAAAAGCAGCAAGAGAAAAGCAGGTAGTTACCTATAAAGGAGCACGCATACAATTGTCAGCTGATTTCTCAAAAAAAAACTACGCAGGCCAGACGAGAATGGCAAGAAATATTCAAAGTGATAAATAACAAGAACCTATAACAAAGATTACTGTACCAGCAAAGCTATCACTCAGAATTAAAGGCCAGATAAAGAACTTCACAAATAAAATTTTAAAAAAGCTAAAGGAGTTCATCACTGCCAAACCACAATTATATGAAATGCTGAAAAGTATTCTGTAAGAAGAAGAAGAAGATAAAGATAAAAATTATGAATAACAAATATGTAACTATCAACAAGTGCATTTAAAAACCAAGAGAATTAAAAATCTGATGAACAGCCGAAACCGGTTTGGCTCAATGGATAGAGCTTCAGCTTGGGGACTGAAGGGACCCGGGTTCGATTCCGGTCAAGGGCATGTACCTTGGTTGCGGGCATATCCCCAGTAGGGGGTGTGCAAGAGGCAGCTGATCGATGACTCTCTCTCATCGATGTTTCTAACTCTCTCTCTCCCTTCCTCTCTGTATAAAATCAATAAAATATATATATTTTTTTAAAAACCTGATGAACAGTATTAACCAGTGAATATAATAGAATCGGAGGTATAGAAAGGAAGTGGACTGACAATTCTTGGGGGAAAAGGGGAATGGGGGTTTTGGGAAGAGACTGAACAAAAATTGTACAGCTACGATGAGGACAGTGGGAAGTGGGGAAAGGGCAGAGGGTGGGGTAGTGTTGCGGGACTTGGGGAATAGGACTCTCTTAAAGTGGGGCTAACAGGAAACCAAAGCTTGTCTGTGCCACTCTGAGGGGAACAATGGAGGGAAAAAAGAGGGACAATTATAATAATCTGAACAATAAAGATTTATTTAAAAAAGAAAAAAGAAAAAAAGAACATTTGTGATTATATTGGGCCTGTCTGGATAATCCAGGATAATATCAGCATCTCAAAATCCTTAAATTCATTATATATGCAAAGTCCCTTTGCTATAACAGGTAACATTCACAGTTTCCAAGGATACCATGTGGGTCTTCTTGGGAAGGGGTTAATATCCAGACTACCACAGCTAGGGACCAGGCAAAAGAGTACACGGTGAGCCAGGGCGAGCCCCACATGCTTTCCTTCCCCCTTATCTTCTACTTCCTTGCTTCTGTTATTTTCTGCAGAGTTTTCACTTCAGAGAAAGCAGAATTCTTAAGAATAACATTTGGTTCCTGTCTGTGGTCACTTTGAACATAACTGTGCCCCATGCCCCCCTTTCCCTCCCAAAAGTGCCCGGGTCCAAAACTCCACTGCTTCCTCCCTCCTTCCTGGAAATCACCCAGGTTGCTCCACTGGCTCAGCACATATCAAAGTTCCCTTCACTTCGTCATTCATTGAGGGGGCTGCTATCCGAGTTACTCCACCACCCCACCCACCCCGGGTCCCAATAAAGGAATGCAGAGCAGCCAGAGCAGCACAGACACTCACAAGCTCAGACACCAGCCACTATATCTCCAGCCACTCTCTCCTTGAAGCTCATCTCCTCACCCTCCAGCATGAAGGTCTCCGCAGTCCTCTTGTGCCTGCTGCTCACCATGGCCGCTCTCACCACTCAGGTGCTCGCTCAGCCAAGTAAGCACCCTCCCTCTTTCCCTTGGAAGCACATCACCCCAACTCTGGGTGATCTTGGTCCATGAGAGCAGAAGGGGGATCCCCAGGCTCACTTTAACAACAAGGTCAGGCAACTCGGGGAAGGATGAGGCATGAGCCTGCTCGCACAGGTGCTCCTGGGCAGAGGCAGGGTGAGAAATCCAGCTGTGGAACCCAAATCCAGCCCCTGTCAGGAGTCCTTCTTTGGAAACACCCCCGGGCACACACAAACTGTCATCACCGCCACCACTCCTTTCCGCACTATTTGGGGGGCTGGGGTGATCGCAGAGAGGGGCCTCATGTGGTGGGTGTGAAGGTACAGTGAAGGGGAGTAGAAGAGCCCCAGCATCTGGACTGTGCTTCATTCAGCCCAGCTTCCTGAGACACAGCTCAGCAAGAGGCACTGGGCATCAGGAGACTCATGGCCAGGCATAGATTACGTGGAGCCTAAAGGGGGACCCATAGTGGGGTCCCTGACCTTCCTGACCACAAGGGTCTGCATTCTTAGCTCCTGCTAGTGACACTCCTGGGAATTAGGTCATTTTAGCAGCTCCCCTGCCCTCTAGTAGCAGTGCTCTATGCCCATGTCACAGCACAGGAAACTGAGTCAGTGTCACATTCTAGCTCTGCAGGATCCACAGAAGTACTGGAATCAAGTGGGTTCTACCTCTACTCCTGATTTCCCTTCGCCTTCTCCTAACTACTTCTTTTATGCTCCAAGTAAGATAAAAAGAGTTAAGTACATCCGGAAATGCTATCTCTTTATAGGTATTTTTCGAGACATTAACCCAACCTGCTGCAACAATTTCACAGATAAGAAGATCCAGATGCGGAAGCTGGTGAGCTACAAGAGAGTCACCAGCAGCAATTGCCCCAGAAAAGCTGTCATGTGAGTTGAGCCCAGACCTCCCTGGTCCAGTTCTTCCTCAGGAAAAGGGAGCCTCAAACCTTAGAGTCAGAGAGGGAACCACCTAATCCAGTCCCCGAGGTGCCCAGTAGGAATCCTGAGATCAGGAGGGAAAACCTGACTCTGAGCATTTCTCTCCAACCCGTGCTTATTCAGACCATGCCAGTGTCTTCCGCCAGAGGTCAGGATGGCTTCACCTGGGTCCTTTCAGGGAGCAGTTGCCCTGGTTTCCCTCCTCCTCCTTCTAATTAGTTCCAGGGCAGCTACTTAGAGACAACTGAGCTGCAAGGCTAGGCTGACACCTCAATGGAACTGCACCTAACTGTGCCCTCTCTCCCCACAGCTTCACGACCAAACTGAACAGGAATATCTGTGCTGATCCCCAGCAGAAGTGGGTCCAGGATTCCATGAAAATTCTAGACAAGAAAACCCAAACTCCAAAGTCTTGAATGCCCACTCCACAACCCAAGAATCTAATCCTAATTTATTGCCTCCTAACTGTCCCTAAATGCCCTTCAATATTATTTTATTGTATTTTCAAAGAATATTAGCTTTGTTTATTGGTATGAAACATAATGTCTTATGTAATTTAAGATTATCTCATTTAAGATAATGATGTTTTAAGTTTATCTCCCATGGACACTGGTGTTTGTTAGACATGGAGACTTTGTCTAAATTGCTTCCCTCAGGGGGGATGCCCCGCAGTTCCACCCTGAAGTGGCATGAGAGTCCTTGTAACAATCATGAATACAAACATGTGTTGTTTTAAATTCTAAGGTATTGCTAAAAACGTTATTATGGAGATGTAATGATGTTACTCTAGAGCAATATATATATTTTTGTAAAAACCTGACTTTTGGTGTTTTCTTGAAAGAAGCTAAAAAGCTGAGTATTTGCTTGATAAGGATGGAGGGCAAGGCTTCAGAGGACAGGGCTCATGTTTTGAGAAAATGAGGATGTGGATTGCCTTGGTCTTTCCCCCTGGGAGGCTCATCTGAGTGCCTAGACAGAAACCTTTATGGCAAGACTCAATCAGGCATCCTACCCTGCCATTCTGGCCCCAACACCGTCTGCCCAGGTCCCAACTACCCTTGTGACTCCTTTAGCAAGAGTCCCACCCCCATTTCTTTTCTTAGAGTCCCTGAGCCACCCCCTAATATTTCCACTAATCGATTGCAACAACCCCCAACCTTTCCATATTCAATTAATTCTCCAACTTGGAATAATAAAGACACTGCAGACTTTGGGAAATCAGGGGGAGACTTAATCATCCTCAACAAAATGGTTAGAGCCAAACCGGTTTCGCTCAGTGGATAGAGTGTCTGCCTGCGGATGAGAGGTCCCAAGTTTGATTCCGGTCAAGGGCATTTACCTTGCTTGTGGGCACATCCCTAGTAGGGGGTGTGCAAGAGGCAGCTGGTCGATATTTCTCTCTCATCGATGTTTCTAATTCTCTATCCCTCTCTCTCCCTTCCTCTCTATAAAAAAAAATCAATAAAATATATTTTTAAAAATAAATATAAATAAATAATAAAATAAAATGGTTAGATCAGAATTTCATAAAGAGGGTAAGACTTGAATTTATCCTTGATGAATGAGAAGTGCGGGTTTTCTTCTTAAAAAATTACAAGATCATTAAGAAAACAAGTAAGAGTGTAAGCAAATACCTAGAGGGTAAAAAAAAAAAAAATGATGGCAGGTACATCAAGGAGGGAGAAAACTGCCCTAGCCAGTTTGGCTTAGTGGACAGTGCATCAGCCTGTGGAGGAAAGGATTCCAGGTTCAATTCTGGTCGAGGACACATACCTTGGTTGTAGGCTCCTCCAAGGCTAGGGCCCTGATCAGGAATCAATGGAAAAATACCCTCAAGTGAGGATTAAATAAAAATATATATATATATATATATATATAATTTTTTTTTAAGAGGAACTAAACTGATCAGATTTCCATTGGGGTCCATGTCTGGGTCAGGTGATAGAGATGTTTAGAAAGGAAGGTTGAATAAACGACTGTGAATTTCAAAGTGGTTAATTAGTGCTCCACTTCATAAGTTAAAAAATGTTGAAAACATTTGCTCCACTGAAGAAGGACACACCAGGGTCCCAGGTTCCCAGTTTTGAGGTCCCGAGGTGAGTTTCAGAAAAAGTAACTTAGTGGCTTCATGCACATCAGGAGAGACAGGAACAAGGGAGAGGCTTCTGCCATGATCCTGGCAGGAAGTGACGAGGACCTGACTATGGAGCCAGAATCAGCCTTGGAAAAGAAAGAGGTGGGCAGGTGAAATGTTGAGTGTGGTAGATGGAGGAGGCAGACCTGTGACCTAAGATACAGAAGCCCCTTCCTTAACCCACATTTTAAGGAGTCAGCTTCCCTGAAACCACAATGTCCTTCTCCCCATCAATATCCCCCCATCCCCACCCAGGAGGCCGGAATCATCCATTTCCATGAATGGGCCTTTTTATCCTAATGTCCCTCTAAAGTCTGTGTTCCCTTGCATGGTATCTGACCCACCATGGAGGTATCTGTCTGATCTATAGAGACACAGATAGACCCTGCTCTAAGAAAGCCAATATCTTACCCAGGCTTATGCATTTCGCATGTTACTGACCTTCCCAATCCGATGGGGAGATGGCTGCTGGGCACAGACAGACCAGGCTCTGCCTCTGGCAGCCTGAGGTGCTAGGAGACCCTGACTGGAGGAAGGACAAGGGGGCTTTAACTGCAGAACTGGCACTGACCCAGCAGGCTGGGTGTTCTGAATCTCCATAGATAAAGTGAGGCAAGCCTAGTGTTATTAATAGGAGCCTCATGGGTCCTAGATGTTAAGATCTGGGAGTGTGTCTCTCAGAAAACTTCCATTTCAACCAGCGGGAGCTGGAGAGGGAGAGAGGTGATTCCACCATAGCTTCAAGTCACACTTTCTAAACTGCCTTGACACCTCAGTCAGCAATTTCCAGGCAGCGGTGTATGGCACTCACTGCCCCTCATGCCAGGTCCAACCCCTCCCTGCCTCTCTCCCTCTCCTGCAGTCTATGGCCTTAGTCTCCAGTCATGAGTCAACCTCTAATTGCAGCGGATACCAAGAGGCAAAGGGAGTGGAGTGCGAACCAATGGGCCCTCTAATACCAGGCCCGTGAGCTGTGGGGTGTGGAAGGAGGAGAGGCCAAGCGAAGGGTGGCTGTGTGCTAAAACCCCCAAATAATCTGTTCACACTCCCTTTTCAAGTCACGTCTATTTATTTTGAAGAAATTTGGAATCCAGCTCAGTCTGGGATTCCTTACTCCTTGCATGATGAAATGTGAGCACAAAGCATTGGCCACAAACCCAGCATGAGAAGAGGATGTTAAGTAGAGTTACATTTATTTCCTTCACTGCCAGCAGCCTATTCCAGGAAATCTGGGCTTTTTCTATCATGCTAAAAAGTCTTCCAGCCTCAGCTCATTGTCAAATTCCAAATTTCTACATTTTTACTATCTGTTACAGCAGCACCCTACTTATAGTTATACAATTCTGTATTCGTTTTTTTATTGTAACTATAACAGGTTATTATCAAATTAATGTCTTAAAGCAACACAAATATATTATCTTAAATTTACAACCAAGGTAAATTCAGAAGTCTTTCTGGAGGCTCTAAAGCAGACTTCATTTTTTTCCCCAATTTATAGGAGCTTCCTGAATTCCTTAGTTCGTGGCCCCCCTTCCTCCATCCTCAAAGCTTCATTAAATCCCCCATTTCTCTCTCTCCCTTTCCATGTCTGTCTCTCTCTCTCCTCTACTTCTGTCATCACATATGGTCTCTGATTCTTACTATCCTTCCTCCATCTTATAAGAATACTTGTGGGTGGAGAAACCAAGATGATGGCATAAGGTAAACACCTAAATGCAGCCTACCACAACAATTTTAAAATTACAACTGGAAAACAGCAAACATCGCCCTGAACCACCAGAAGGCTGGCTGAGTGGAAGCTCTAACATCTAGGAAGGGAAGATAAAGGACGCAGACCCTCAGGAGCTGTGGAGGTGCGGAGATCTGTGCTCGCAGAAAGGGTGGCCGCCAAATACGCTGCTGGCATATTCGCGGCACACTCGGAGAGGGTGGGCAGCTAACTTGCAGCTGGCTTTCTTGTTCAGGAGGAAAACAAAACCTCCCTATTGCACCAAAACCGGTTTGGCTCAGTGGATAGAGCGTCGGCCTGTGGACTGAAAGGTCCTGGGTTCGTTTCTGGTCAAATCATGTACCTTGGTTGCGGGACATCCCCAGTAGGGTGTGTGCAAGAGGCAGCTGATTGATGATTCTCTCTCATGGATGTTTCTAACTCTCTATCCCTCTCTCTCTTCCTCTCTGTAAAAAATCAATAAAATATATTAAAAAACAAACAAACAAACAAAAACACCTTCCTATTGCACTGATAGCCAGCTCCAGTAAAGGAGACATTGGATTGTCAGGCAGTGGGCAAAACTCTCTTACAGGTGCACGAGGCTAGCAGCCATTACTGCGAGACACAGGAACAGGACCCTCTTAGGGTGGGGCTGACAGGAAACCAAAGCTTGTCTGCGCCACCCCGAGACTCCGCCCCACCCAAGATGAACACAGAAGCCCTCCCAGTGGCTAGCTTTCTCGATCAGGAGAAAAACAAAACTTCCCAACAGCACTGATAGCCAACTCTGATCCGGGAAGAAAATGAATGTCAGGGAGCAGGCAAAACTCGAGAACAGTCTTCCCCCAAGTGGTGCACATGCCAGCAGCCAGTGTTGTGGGACTCGGCCAATAGGACCCTCTTAAGGCAGATTTGGGGGGAAACCAAAGCTTGTCTGTACCTCTCTGAGACTCTGCCCCATCCAAGCTGAGCACAGAAGCCCTCCTAGCTGAGACACTGCTGATCCTCACAGCCAATTGGCTTGGAGATCAACTCTTCCCAGTGATACCAACAACAAGCAAGGCTTAACTATTAGATTGCACACACAGCCCACAAAGGGCTTCTCCAAGACTATACACTTCAGGTAACTGGGAAAGCTGAGCTACAGGGCCCTGCTAGGACCCCTAGCACACAATGCTACTCCATCAACTCAGGGAAGCAGCTAAAATGCAGGGAAGAGGCAGGCCACAAAGGAAGGAAATGGAGGAAAGCAAAAGAATGGACATAGAGTTCAAAACCACAGTTATAAGGTTTTTCAAGAATTTCCTAGAAAAGGCCGATAAAATAAACAAGACCTTTGAGGATATGAAAAGGGGTCAACTAGAAATAAAGCATGCACTGAGAAAAATAAAAAATATTATACAAAGTCCTTAAAACTTTGTATTAGATGGAAAGTTTTCAAGAATCAAGTCAAAGATTTGGAACACAAAGAGCCAGAGGACACTTCTCTGCAGAAGCAAGAAGAGAAGAGAATCCAGAAAGTTGAAGATAGTGTAAAAAGCCTTTGGGACAACTTCAAGCAAATCAGAATTATGTGGGTCCCAGAAGAAAAGAGAGAGCAAAATACTGAAAATCTATTGGAAGAAATGTGACAGAAAACTTCCCCACCTGGTGAAAGAAATAGACTTACAAGTCCAGGAAGCACACTGAACCCCAAACAAAAGGAATCCAAAGAGGACCACACCAAGACACATCATAATTAAAATGCCAAAAGCAAAAAACAAAGAGAGCATATTAAAAGCAGCAAGAGAATAGCAGTTAGTTACCTATAAAGGAGCACCCATACGATTGTCAGCTGATTTCTCAACAGAAACTATGCAGGCCAGACGAGAATAGCAAGAAATATTCAAAGTGATGAAGAGCAAGAACCTACAACCAAGATTACTGTACCAGCAAAGCTATCACTCAGAACTGAAGGCCAGATAAAGAACTTCACAAATTAAAAATATATATATATAAAGGAGTTCATCACTGCCAAACCACAATTATATGAAATGCTGAAAAGTATTCTGTAAGAAGAAGAGGAAGATAAAGATAAAAATTATGAATAACAAATATGTAACTATCAACAAGTGAATCTAAAAACCAAGGGAATTAAAAAATCTGATGAATAGTATTAACTGGTAAATATAATATAATCAGAGGTATAGTAAAGAAGTGGAGTGACAATTCTTGGGGAAAAGGGGAGTGGAGGGGCAGGAAGAAACTGAACAAAAACTGTGCACCGATGGATGAGGACAGTGGGAAGTGAGGAAAGGGCAGAGGGTGGGGTAGGAAACTGGTGGAGGGAAGCAATGGAGGGGGAAAAAGAGGAACAATTGTATTAATCTGAAGAATAAAGATTTATTTAAAAAATAGCCGGGACCGGTTTGGCTCAATGGATAGAGCGTCGGCTTGGGGACTGAAGGGTCCCAGGTTCAATTCCGGTCAAGGGCATGTACCTTGGTTGCGGGCATATCCCCAGTAGGGGGTGTGCAAGAGGCAGCTGATCGATGACTCTCATCGATGTTTCTAACTCTCTATCTCTCTCCCTTCCTCTGTACAAAATCAATAAAATATATTTTTTTAAAAATAAAAAATAAAAAAAGAACATTTGTGATTATATTGGGCCTGTCTGGATGGATAATCCAGGATAATCTCAATATCTCAAGATCCTTAAATGAATTCTATCTGCAAAGATCTCTTTATCATGTCAGGTAACATATCACAGCTTCCAGGGATATGACTTGGGCCTTCTTGGGAAGGGGTTAATATCCAGACTACCATAGCTAGGGACCAGGCAAAAGAGTACATGGTGAGCCAGGGCGAGCCCAGGATGCTTTCCTTCCCCCTTATCTTCTACTTCCTTGCTTCTGTTATTTTCTGCAGAGTTTTCACTTCAGAGAAAGCAGAATTCTTAAGAATAACATTTGGTTCCTATCTGTGGTCACTTTGAATATAACTGTGCCCCATTACCCTCCCTTTCCCTCCCAAAAGTGCCCGGGTCCAAAACCCCACTACTTCCCCCCCTCCTTCCTGGAAATCACCCAGGCTGCTCTACTGGCTCAGCAAAATTCAGATTTCAGGTGACTCCACCCACCCCTGGTCCCAATAAAAGGAATGCAGAGCAGCCAGAACAGCACAGACACTCACAGGCTCAGACACCAGCCACTATCTCTCCAGCCACTCTCTCCTTGAAGCTCATCTCCTCACCCTCCAGCATGAAGGTCTCCGCAGCCCTCCTGTGCCTGCTGCTCACCATGGCCGCCCTCAACACCCAGGTGCTCGCTCAGCCAGGTAAGCACCCTCCCTCCTTCCCTTGGAAGCACATCACCCCATCTCTGGGTGATCATGGCCCATGAGAACAGAAGGGGGATCCCCAGCCTCACTTTAACAACAAGGTCAGGGAATTGTGAGAAGGACGAGGCGTGAGCCCGGTTGGTCGCACAGGTGTTCCTGGGCAGAGGCAGGGTGAGAAATCCAGCTGTGGAACCCAAATCCAGCCCGTTTCAGGACTCCAGCTGTGGAAACACACACACACACACACACACACACACACACACACATACACACACACACACTATAGTCACCGCCTCAGCTATTTTCTGCACTATTTGGGGGGCTGGGGTGATCGCAGAGAGGGGCCTCATGTGGTGGGTGTGAAGGTACAGTGAAGGGGAGCAGAAGAGCCCCAGCTTCTAGACTGTGCTTCATTCAGCCCAGCTTCCTGAGACACGGCTCAGCAAGAGGCAGTGGGCATCAGGAGATTCGTGGCCAGGCATAGGTTACGTGGAGCCTAAAGGGGGACCCATAGTGGGGTCCCTGACCTCCCCTGACCACTAGTGTCTACATTCTTAGCTCCTCCTAGTAACACTCCTGGGAATTAGTTCATTTTAGCAGCTCCCCTGCCCTCTAGTAGCAGTGCTCTATGCCCATGTCACAGCACAGGAAACTGAGTCAGTGTCACATTCTAGCTCTGCAGGATTCACAGTAGTACTGGAATCAAGTGGGTTCTACTTCTACTCCTGATTTCCCTTCGCCTTCTCCTAACTACTTCTTTTATGCTCCAATTAAGATAAAAAGAGTCAAGTCCATCCTAAAATGCTTTCTCTTTGTAGATCCTTCTCCAGATAGAGTCACTTCCCTAGTCACCTGCTGCTTTGCATTAACGGACAAGAAGATCCCGATGAGGAAGCTGGTGAGCTACAAGAGAGTCACCAGCAGCCAGTGCCCCAGAGAGGCTGTGATGTGAGTTGAGCCCAGCCCTCCCTGGTCCAGTTCTTCCCCAGGAAAAGGGAGCCTCAAACCTTAGAGTCAGAGAGGGAACCACCTAATCCAGTCCCTGGAGGTGCCCAGTGGGAATCCTGAGGCCAGGAGGGAAAACCTGACTCTCAGCATTATTCTCCACCCCGTGCTTATTCAGACCATGCCAGGGTCTTCCGCCAAAGGTCAGGATGGCTTCACCTGGGTCCACCAGGGGAGCAGCTTGCTCTGGGTTCCCTCCTCCCTCTTCTAATTAGATCCAGGGCAGCTACTTAGAGACAACTGAGCTGCAAGGCTAGGCTGACACCTCAATGGAACTGCAAGTAACTGTGCCCTCTTTCCCCACAGCTTCACGACCAAATCTAACAAGGATATCTGTGCTGACCCCCAGCAGAAGTGGGTCCAGGATTCCATGAAAATCCTAGACAAAAAAACCCAAACTCCAATGCCTTGAATGCCCACTCCACAACTCAAAAATCTAATCCTAATTGATTTCCTCCTAACTGTCCCTAAATGCCCTCCGATATTAGTTTCTTGTATTTTCAAAGAATATGAGCTTTGTTTATTGATATGAAACATGATGTCTTAATTAATGCTAACCTCATTGAAGATATTGATGTTTTGCCAAAACCGATTTGGCTCAGTGTATAGAGCATCGGTCTGTGGACTGAAAGGTTCCAGGTTGGATTCCTGTCAAGGGCATGTACTTTGGTTGTGGGCACATACCCGGTGGGGGGTGTACAGGAGGCAGCTGGTCAATGTCTCTCTCTAATTGATGTTTCTGGCTCTCTATCTCTCTCCTCTCCCTTCCTCTCTATAAAAAAATCAATAAAATATATTTTTTAAAAGATTTTGATGTTTTAAGTTTCTCTCCCATGGACACTGGTTAGACATAGAGACCTTTGTCTAAATTGCTTCCCTCAGGGGGGCTGCACTGCAATTTCACCCCTGAAGTGGCATGAGAGTCCTTGCAATAATCATGAATACAAACACATGTTGTCTTAAATTCTAAGGCATTGCTAAAAACATTATTATGGAGATGTAATAATTACTCTGAAGCAATACATATATTTTTGTACAAAACCTGACTTTTGGTGTTTTCTTGAAGGAAGCTAAAAAGCTGAGTATTTGCTTGATGTTGATGGAGAGGCAAGGTTTCGGAGGACAGGGCTCATGTTTTGAAGGAAAGAGGACGTGGATTGCCTTGGTCTTTCCCCCTGGGGCGCTCATCTGAGTGCCTAGACAGAAACCTTTAGGGCAAGACTCAATCAGGCATTCTACCTCTGCCATTCTGGCCCCAACACCGTCTGCCCAGGTCCCAACACTGTCTGCCCAGGTCCCAACTACCCTTGTGACTCCTTTAGCAGGAGTCCTCCCCTCACCTCCTTTCTTTTCTTAGAGTCCCTGAGCCACCCCCTAATATCTCCCCTAATAATTGCAACTACCCCCAATCTTTCCCCATTCGATTAATTCTTCAACTTGGAGTAATACATACACTGCAGACTTTGGAAAATCAGGGGTAGACTTAATGACCGTCAGTAAAATAGTTAGATTAGAATTTCATAAAGAGGGTAAGACTTGAATTTATCCTTGATGAATGAGAAGTGGGGGTTTTCTTCTTTAAAAATTACAAGATTGTTAAGAAAAGAAGGAAGAGTATAAGCAAATACCTAGAGGTTAAAAAAAAAAAAATGATGGCTGGTACATCAAAGAGGGAGAAAACTGCCCTAGCCAGAGCATCAGCCTGTGAACAAAAAGATTCGAGGTTCAATTCCAGTCAAGGGCACATATCTTGGTTGCAGGCTCCTCCCAGGCCTGGGCCCTGATTGGGAATCAATGGGAAAATATCCTCAGGTGAGGATTAAAAAATAATATTAAATTATAATAATAAGATTTTTTTTAAGAGGGACTAAACTGAGGTCCCAAGGTGAGTTTCAGGAAATGTAACTTAGTGGCTCCATGAACACCTGGAGAGACAGGGACAAGGGAGAGGCTTCTGCCATTGTCCCGGCAGGAGGTGACAAGGACCTGACTATGGAGCCAGAGTCAGCCTTGGAAAAGAAAGAGGTGGGCAGGTGAAATGTTGAGTGTGGTAGATGGAGGAGGCGGTCCTGTGATCTAAGGTACCGAAGCCCCTTCCTCAACCCACGTTTTAAGGAGTCAGCTTCCCTGAAACCAGATTGTCCTTTACCCCATCGGTATCCCCCCATCCGCACCCACGAGGCTGGAATCATCCATTTCCATGGATGGGCCTTTTTATCTGAATGTGCCCCTAACGTCTAGGTTAGAGTATTGAATTCCCATTCAGCATGGAGCCTTGGCCTCTGAGAGGGTCAAGGACTACACGTAGAGTGGGACTTCAATGTATCAGGAAAGTCCCAGCTGTCATTTATTGGGGGCATTATGTTGCCAAGTATGTTGGAAGCAGAGACTGAAGAAGACTTTAACTGTTTTACCTGGAGAATAATGTTTGAACCTTCTATGAACCAGAGACAAGCAACGACAGCCATCAAAGAAGGCCACGCCCACAAAGCTGTGTCCAGAGTTACTCAAGAGAAGCGATGGATGAGGAGGAGCTGGGCTGAAGGTTGATCTAGGGGCCCTGGACAAGGGAGCTCCTCCTGAGAGCAGGATCAGAGCCCCCAGCCTGGGAATGGGATTTACACAGAAGTATTTCAGAACTGCTGTAGTCAGTCGCTGCTGGCTGTCCTGCAGTGAGGGTAATAATAGTAATTCTCTTGTTCCTATTCCACCAGGCACCTGGGTGTGTTGGGGATAAATTGTTCACTTTTTTAAAGTACTATCATTTTTTTAGTTGAAAGCTATAAAATTTACTCCTATACGGCCTTATCTCCTTTTTTAAAACTGTGTAAGCTTTGCCCAGCCCATATGACTCAATGGTTCATTCCCAGTCAGGGCACATGCCTGAGGGCTCGATCCCCAGTAGGGGGCATGCAGAGACAGCCGATCAATGATTTTCATCTTTGATGTTTCTATCTCTCTCTTCCTCTCATCCCACTTATAATTTACTAACTCATCCAGTACTTCCTCTCTGAAATTAATTTTTTAAAAAAAACTTCTTTAAAAAAATTGTGTAAGTTTAAAAAAAAACAAACTGTGGTTAAAAAAACCACATAACATAAAATTGATCCTATTTACTATGCTTAAGTGTACAGTTCGGTAATGTGCAGTATTTTAACACTGTTGTACAATGGATCTCAAAACGGTTTCATCTTGCAAACTAAACCATTGAACAACAACTCTCCATGTCCCCCTCTTCACGGCCCCTGGCAACCATCATTCTATTTTCTGTTTCTGTACGTTGAGTTATGCCATATTTCTCTTTTTGTTGCTACCTTACATCACTTAGCATAATGCCCTCAAGTGTTATCCATCGTATAGCACAGGACAGAATTTCCTTTCCTTGAAAAGGCTAAAAAAACATTCCATTATGTGACTGCATCACAGTTTGCTCATCCATCCATTCCTCAGTGGACACCAGATTGCTTCCACCTTTTGGCTATTGTGAATAATGTTGCCATGGACACGAATGTGCACATATATCTTCGAGATCCTACTTTCAGTTCTTTTTCATCTTTACCCAGAAGTGGGATTGTTAAATCATGTGGTAATCCCATTTTTAATTTTTGAGGAACTGTCAGACTTGTTTCCATAGTGGCTGCACTATTTTGCATCCTATCAACAGGGCACGTGGGTGTCAGTTTCTTCACAACCTCACTAACACTTTTTTTCAAATAGTAGCCATCCTGATAGATATGAAGGGATATCCCATTTCATTCTCCTTTCTCTAATGATAGTGAAGTTGCAAAAAATAATATAGAGGGTTTTTACTAACCCTTGCAGAGCTTCCCCTAACGTTAGCACCCTATTTTCTTTAGGTTTTGTAAGGTTTATTGCATCTCTGCTTCACATATCATCTTCAGTATGTGATCCAGGTGGAAGGGAAGCCTCACCTGGGACATGCTATCCTCATAGTAAAGAGGGGGAATGCCATAGTGGAAACATGAGATGATAATGTCTGCACAGAGATAACATGTGTAACTTCTGCTCACAGCCAATTGACCGAAGCTAGACAATTAATGCCACACAGAAGCTGTCCTCCCTGGGAGACATGGCCACAATCCCTTGGAGGTCCAGAACCTCTCCTATCCTGAGTACCTGGAGGACTGCTAGGACCTCACCTCTCTCCTATTTCTGAGATGGTCATCTTCCCTCAAGTCCAATACTCAAGTGCTTCCTGGAAACCAGTCCACTCTCTCAGGTTTCAGTTCAGAAGAAACAGGAGTGTTTGGGGGCAACTTTTTTTTTAAATATATATTTTATTGATTTTTTACAGAGAGGAAGGGAGAGAGATAGAGAGCTAGAAACGTCAATGAGAGAGAAACACCGACCAGCTGCCTCTTGCACACCCCCTACTGGGGATGTGCCCGCAACCAATGTACATGCCCCTGACCGGAATCGAACCTGGAACCTTTTAGTCCGCAGACCGATGCTCTACCACTGAGCCAAACCGGTTTCGGCATGGGGGCAACTTTTTTAGGAAGCCATCAGCATCACTCTGAATCTGTCTCCAGTAGCTTTTTATCCACTGCCCCTCCTTAGTTTCTTACTCTTAAAAATGACAACTAACACTCACTGCAATTGTGTCCTAGACTTCTAGACAGTCTCATCCCACTTAGGATTTACTAACTTGTTCATTACTTACAAAAATAAGGTGTTTTTATTATCTTTACTTTTATAGTTATGGAAACTGAACCACGGGATGAGTGGCTTTCCTATGATTGTCCAGCAAAGTGAGCAATGTTACAGTCCTTTTCTTTTTCTTTTATTGTTATTATTTTTAATCCTCATCCAAGAATATGCTTATTGATTTTTAGGGAGGGAGGGAAGGAGGGAGGGAGGGAGGGAGGGAGGGAGGGAGAGAGAGAGAGAGAGAGAGAGAGAGAGAGAGAGAGAGAACATTGATTGGTTGCCTTCTGTATGTGTCCCCACTGAGGATCAACCCTGCAACCTTTTGCTACACGGATACAATTTTTTTCTTAAACATGTCACTCAACTGCCTCTTGTTTTCCAAGATTTCTTGGTCCTTGTTCCGCAAATAAAACAATTAGAACAATGTGGCTTTAAGGAGCTTCAGGCCATGCATGAAGTTTGTATCCGACAAATACAGGATGTGGATAGAGCTACTTGCTAAATCTGTGCTCATGGCAGATGTTGCATGTCAGTCCAGGCACCATAAACTCAGACCCAAAGCAAGGTCCGCAATTCTCCCTGAGAAATCTCTCTTGGCTTCTCTCACTAGTCAAGAGGAAGTAGTATCTTAACAAGTCCCCTCCTAAGCTCAAAATAGGCCCTGCTAAATGCAATGTGGTACCCTGAGTTGCATCTTAGGAGAGAAAAAGGACATCAGTGAAAACACTGTTGAAATCCAAC